TTGGCCAGGGCCACAGAGTCAACCTTGTTTGGGATGAGAAGGAAGAGGAAATAAGTATCGAGCCTGGAATTTGCCTGGTGTTTGGGGATTAGTGACTGGATATACTGCCTTTCTGGTCAAGGGGAGCCTTTACAGAGACACAAAAGTTATCCAAGTTTCAGTTTGCTGACATGGCACCCTGCATAGGAGCAGCTCCATCTTGGGCCCAGAAATTTATTTCAGGATGTTCATATGGTTACTTTGGTTTAAATTTTGAGAAACCACCAAACTGTTTTCCATTTCACATTCCCAGCAGCAATGAGCGTCTTTGTACACAAATTCCTAATAGCCTTTGTGGGGGTTGGGGGGGTGGTGGAGGGCATCTTGTCATTCTCAATGGAGGGGAAGAAGGAACCCCCTGGGGATAAAGAAGGAACCCTGTGGGGATAAAGGCAGGAGTGAACACCCTTGGGATTCCCAGAAGGAGGTCAATTCCAACACAAAAGCAACACTAAACAGTGAAGTGACTTTGGCAGGGACCAAATTGGACGATAAAACCATGGTTTCCCCTTAGAAAGAAAAGCCCTCAAAGAGAATGGCCCTACCTAAGTTGTATGGCTCTTTCTCCCTCTGCAGCTGTCGGAGGAAGGAGAGATCATCGATTTGCTACTGATGAAGATACTCAGTTTCCTGGGCATTAAATGTAAAAGACAGGAGCCTGGAAGCAGCAGTGAGCAGCCTGAGCTGCTGTCAGAGGCCTGGGCCCCTCAGCCTGTATCAGCTGTGCCCCAAATTTAAGCTGTTGGTCCAGGCACAATCATCTGTAGAGTAGGGGAGGGTCAGCATCTCAGGCCTACACTTACCAGTGATTCTGTAATCTCTCCTGGTCAATATTTTTCTGTGTCCATAGAAGAGTTACCAAACCTGGCAAGCAAAAAAAAAAAAAAAAAGGAAAAATACATACATACCTCTATACAGTTGCCACCACTATCATAGACTGTTTGTTCAAATATATTTTCAACTAGAAATATAACAAATATTGTCTGGAGTTCAGGGAGGGGGGGTGGGAAATCCCCTCTACAGACTGATTATTTCATCTTCTTGGTCAGTCAGGAGTTGCCTTTGAATGATTCTAGTTCAGGGTTTCCTCAACTGTGTCCAGGAGATGCTAATGGGTGTCATATTAGTTTGCTAGGGCTGCCAGAACAAAGTACCACAAACCGGCTAGCTTAAAACAACAGAAATGTATTGCTCCACAGTTCTGGAGGAGAGAAGTCCAAAATCAAGGTGTCAACAGGGCCGTGTTCCTTTGGAAGGCTCTCTTTTAGCTTCTAGCGTATGCCAGCAATCCTTGGCATTCCTTGGCTTGTAGATGCATCATTCTGACCTCTGCCTCTGTTGCCACATGGCCTTCTTCCCGTATGGGGTCTGGGACTTCAACCTATCTCTTTAGGGGCGACGATTCAACTCATGACAGGTGTCATCCTCCCCCAAATGTTTCTAGATCAAACGTGGGAAACACTGGATACACAAGTGCTTTAGCATGGGAATTGTTAGAGCTTTTAATATGCTAAATGTGCACTATGAGTCTTCTGGGATGAGATGAATGTGAGCAATAAAGTGTGTAATGATTCCCAAACCCCTATGACCATGGCTTCTGGTATTGAAGCACTTCAGTCAGGGCTAGTGTTCCTTAGGCAATACTTTGGGAATCGTTGATCTACACCAGTGGTTCTCAATACTGGCTACACGCTAGAAACCCCAGACTTCATCCCAATTGATCAGAATCTATGGGTCCCAGGCATCAATATTTTTTAAGCCCCCCATGATGATTCCAATGTGCAGTCAGACTTGATAAACATGCTTTAAATTCTGAGAACCACAGACCTAGATAATAAAAGTCTTCCAGGTGACTGTGTGGATAAGTGCACATTTCCCCTCTCCTATGCAGGAGAAGCACCTCACGAATCCTCTCCAATTCACCCTGTCTTGTCTCTCCTCCTAACACACCCATTGTAGCAGGTACTCTAGGTAGCCTGCCCCAAATCCATTCCATGTGTCCCTCCTTGCTATCAGAATCCCAATTTGTTCAGGTAGCCCCTACCCCTACCCCACATGACTCATGGTAAGGTGACCCTGTGGCCACCTCAAAGTAAATCTTGATTTGTCTTAGCAATAGCCCTTGACAGGGCTTCCCTGGTGGCACAGTGGTTGAGAGTCTGCCTGCCAATGCAGGCGACACGGGTTCGTGCCCCGGTCCGGGAAGATCCCACATGCCGCAGAGGGGCCCGTGAGCCATGGCCGCTGAGGCTGCGCGTCCAGAGCCTGTGCTCCGCAACGGGAGAGGCCACAACAGTGAGAGGCCCGCGTACCGCGAAAAAAAAAAAAAAAAAGAGAGATAGGCTCTAGTGCTGGACATTGTCTAGTCTAAGACTGCTGGAACTCTGACAGCTACCTTGAGACCATGGGGAACAATCTGAAGATGGCAGAGCAGAAAGATGAGAGGAACATGCACACTTGATGAGGTCATTAAACAGCTAGTTTAACCGTGAAGCTGAACTACTGCCAGCCTTCTATCTGGATGAGAGCTTAAATATCCTTTTATGATGGCTGAACCAGGATCCCACCTAACTACCATGACAATCAAAAGCCAGAATCCTTTATAAACAGAGAGACACATAACATGGCAATACACATAAGACCTTGGGGATTTATCTTCTATCCACCCCAAAGCCCATCATCCATTCTTTATTGTGTCAGGTATGAACATGAGCTATATAAGCAGATAAGCAACAAATAATTCATACCAAGTGCACACATGTCTCCCGAAAGTCTGGTACAGAAATCTAACCAGACACATAAAGTCCGTTAGTTTAAATAGGAAAAGTTCTAAGATCTAGAGAAGTTGTAAATTCTTCATTTCTCTTTCCCATCTTTCCCATCCACTCTCCACGTCTCTGTTGACTATAAATATCAAATTGGAAATTTCTTGTTGTGAGAGAGAAAAATATATCTGCTCAAAGAGATGAGAAGGCCCCCCTGAGACACCTGAAAGAAATGACCACCTGCATTTTCAGGTGCCTGTACCAACTGTGCAATGAGATGACCTTTCACATTCCAAGCCATGGATGTTACAAAGATAATCAGACGAAAAAAAAATTTTTTTTTAATCCACAATGCTTGTTACATTAAAAAAAAAAAAAAAGACACACTTCCTATTGCTTTGGCATAAGGGCCCACGACATAGCCCACACATTGATATGTGACCTTGTTCTTCATACCAAATGAGTTAGTGAAGCTAGGAACAAATATTTTAGGGCATGGCTTGCATTATGCTGCAGTGGCTTGTAATGAAACAATAAAAACAGAACACTGACATTATGGAAACCAGACAAGATCTGGAGTTTACAGTAGACCACTGTGAGCCAGTCAGCATCCCAAACAGCGGCAAGTAGAACAGAGCTTAAGAGCAGTTGATTGTGAATCAGACTAGAGGGCAAGTTCTGCTACTGCCACCTAGTAACTGCTTAAGTCATAAAATGCCTTCCTCATTCCACTCCTGGGAAAGTTAGTTAAAACTCTCTGAGTCTCCAGCTCTTCATCTACAAAATGAGTATAATACCTACCAGAAGGGGTTTGGAGAAGATTACAAAGATAATATCTGCACAGCCCCAGCACATAACAAGGGCTCAATTAATGTCTATGATTTACTCAGAGGAAAACAGAGCACAGCAGCCCTTGCAAGCCACCACACACATGTGCCCACATCCCCAATTTTATAAATGAGGCAGAATCTCACTGCAACATTTGGGTCACCCAAACGCAAACACACACACACACACACACACACACACACACACACACACACACACACACGCTTCAAGGTACTCATCCTGTAATACTGAAAGTGTAGAGATTCAAGTGTTTTTCACTCCCCCATTTCTTTGCTGATTCATGCCCACTCCATAAAATCCATGTTAAAGGTGAGATCTTTCCTCAAACCTAATTATTTTGTCTCCTTGGATTGGGTGGGACATGTCTCCTGCTTAAGTAAGGAACTGATCATGCTGGGTCTCAACTCTCTGCCTTTTGATTGCTCCTGCAGTCCAGACCCCACCAAGAAGCCACTCCTACCCCTTCAACAAGTCCTTGCCCCTCTAAGTTTCATGATTCTGTCTGTCCCCTCTTTGGGGACCATGGGCCTTTTGGGATCTGTAAAGTAATAAAGTGGGTTCCTGGACTGTTTTCAATATTTCAAAAAGTCAAAGAGAAACTGCATTTGTGTCACCGAGCCTTTGGCCAATGCCCAATAACCATCTTTGGCTGGCATGATTGTTTGGACCTACTATGAATCCTGCTCTGGGTGACCCTGATCCTCGTAGAAGGGTGGGAACTAATCTTTTAACAGAACTGGGAGCACCCTGCCTTCCCCAGGGCCCAAGGGCACTGGAATGCGCTGGCCCAGCAGTACCACCCCTGATTGGAGCCCATTTCACCGCCCGGCTGGGTCGCGGAGGCAAGAAGGCCTGACCCAGCGCTTTCACTCGCCCAGAAGCAATGCCGGAAGGCGTGGCTCCACGTCTCCCGGGAGGCCCCGCCCCTGACGGCCGGCCTGGCCCGGCCCGCCCCTGTACTAGTCCCCGCCCCTCGCCGCAGCCCCTTCCGGGCCACAGGGCGTTCCGAGTGTCACGCCCCTCCCGCCTGCCACCCCATCAGGCCCCGCCCCTCCCGGGCCCCGCCCCTGCGCGCCGGTCCAGCCAGCTCGCTCCGGCTCGCTCCGGCCCCGGGGCCGCCCCCTCCCCGCCCCGCCCCCTCCAGCCGGGGGTGCTCTAGATGCTGCGCGGAGACCCTCTGCACCCCTGCGAACATGGCGCTGCAAGTGGCGCGGAGCGTGCGGGCCGCGGTCTGCAGCCTGCGCGCCATCTCTGCGCCCAACGCGCCCTGCCCGCCGCGGCCCTGGGGACTGCGGGCGGGCGCCGTCCGGGCGCTGCGCACCGGTCCCGTTCTGCTGTCGGGTAAGTGCGGGCGGGCACGTGGGGCGAGCCAAGCTGACTCGGGGTAAGGGACTGGGGCCTCGATCCTCACCTCGGGTCCCCGCCGCTGGTCGCCCCGGTCAAGGGAGGCGACCCCTGCACACGCTTATTGTTGTTGGGATCCCGTGTCGCGAGGCCGCTACTCCCTGAGTGACTTAAACGACCCCGCAGTCTTTGTCCTGCGGGTTGGGAGGAGGGGGGAGGAGGGCGGGGAGGCCTGGAGAACACGCGCGGTCGCCGTGTCCCGACTGCTTCCGGCAGGAGCGTCGGCCGCTCGCTGCTGGAGACCCGGGCGAGCGTCGCCGAGCTCCTTCCTGACCTTAGATTTCTAGCATTTGTGAGCATCGTGGACCCTAAGAGTGAAGACAAATAATAGGCTTTACTTTGCTACACGGATCGTCACTGAATTCTGAAGTAAAAGTAAAGCAAGAGCATTTATTGAAATTTAAAGCACTGGGTCTAGATTTTTACCAGCTAAAGCTGGCACAACTTTGGAGAGAGCTATTTCCTAAAGCAGTGAGATAAACTCCACTGGACTCCACAGAAGACGTTCTACTGAAGTCTGTATCGAGTCGTGAATGTGTGTTGGGCTGAAACGAGGCCTTAGTTACATGGACTTGAAGGAACAGGGAGACATGCCCGTAAATGTCTTGGCCATCTGTCCTACTTTAGCACGCGTTACCGCAGAGGAAAAAACGTTTTACTTCATGCACCAATACCTGAGACATTAACTGCACCTCCGAGAACTCAGGCTTCTTGCTGACAGAGCGCAGGTCTGTGGTGGCTGTTCTCTCATTAAGTTCGTTGTTTTAGAAACCTGTTTGGGACTAGAAAAGTTGATAGGTTTAAGTCCAAAGTCAAACATAATGAAGCTTACCTCCTCCCCACCCCACCCACCCATTAAAATCTCTCAGCTCTGTTAGTGCCGCATTTCAAGGGAAGAGCATTTCTCAGATAAGAACTGAATTTCAAACCTATGTATTTTGGTTATTCATTGTTACACTATCACTAGCTTTTTGCATTTTCCTGTTATCTAGTTAAATATTGCCCAAGATATCAATACCCATGATCTGGTTGAACACCTAGGTTTTTAATACTAAAGAGACCGAGTTCCAAAATTTCACTCCACCTCTTATGAGCTGTGACATCTTGGGTAGTCACTTAACTTCTCTGTTTCCCTAATCAGAAAAATGGAAATGATAATCCATACCTTACAGATTTGTTGGATGAAATGAAATAATTTAACTGCTGTACATATAGTTTGACGCATAGTAAGTACTTGATAAATGTTACTTCTTATTAAATAGTAGTGTATAGAATCAAATAAATAGCGGAAAGTTGATCAAATGTTAATGTATTTTATTTGACTCAGTGACTGAAGGGAGGAGAATGCAAACTTCTCATAAATTACTCAACACACATAATTTTGGGGGGGCCAAAACCCATGTTTTTCAAGACTCAGAGGAAAAGTAATTATTTACCTAATCTCCTGTTCCCTTCTTTCCTGTTGGGCCAAGGGTTAAAGGAGAATTGTACGAATCATCGTCTTTTACCTAAATTGCATGGCCTAGTACAAAGACTGCATGGCCTTTGAAGTCAAGTGGACCTAGGTGCGTTTAGCTTAGCAATGTTGCCGCCTTTTCCTCTAAACTTGAGGTTGCTCAGTTGCTAAATTGAATGTGAGAGCACTCTTACTCCTAAGATTATCTTTACAATTAGGTAAGATGGCAAGACCAAAGTCAGGACAGTAATTTCAGAGAAGTCATATGTTTATGGTTGTCCAGTCCTTACTTTTAAAAGGTATATTAGATTTAAACTGCCAGTTTTAGAGTTGTGACAGAATGTTAGGGAGAATTGAGTCCTGTAGCCAAATAACTATATATTAGATGTTTTGCTGAGCATCCTCTTAAACTTAAAAAAAAAAATTACTTCACTCCAGCTTTTGAGTGCTTTCTATATGCCAAGCACTGTGTTTTGAACTGGGAATACAGATGAGATAAAGCCTGCTCTTGCTTGCTTTGTACTTGGTCTACTGCCTGGGGGAAACTGTAGCCTGTTAAGTGCTATGAGTGTGGGGGGGGAACGGTGTGGGAGAGTGGTGCAGAGTGCTGTGGGAGGAGGTTGGACGGCCCAGGAACCCAGGCTTGGTGGGCTGCATAAGGCATCTGGCAGGCAGAGCTGCTAAATTGAGATCTGAAAGTCAAGAAAAGGCGGTGGGGAGAATGGGTTGCAGTCAGAACACTAAGTACAAACACACTTTCTTAGGGAAACACACGTTGACCTGAAGCATTTAGTATTTGAAGTGGAGTGAAGCAAAGCAAGTTACTTTGTGGCAGATTTTGCAACCTCTTACACTGAGGAGTATGGTATTAAAGTTTTTTAATGACTGGGAGGAAAAGAAATACTCTTTATTTACACTCTGCTGTGTATCAGAGCTGTGTAATCAAGGCAGTTTAATGTTGTTTTAAGTACAGTTATCTTTTGGGTAAGGGGTAAGAGTGAACCAGCAATGCTTATTGTAAAACAGTATTGAAATTAACGAGCCATTTTCTTATTAACTTCCGATGCAGTATTTTTGGAAAAATACTGCTTCACTTCAGAATGTGATATATATTTAGGAAGGTAAGTTTTTTTTTAAAAAAAATATTATTTTAAGCAAGTACTTTTGACATTAAATCGTAAGGAGTTTTTTTCACATCACTCGAACTTTGGTAGGTCTTTCTTCCAAGAATCCTTGAGTATTTTGGCCATCCGTGTATTTGAAGAGAAGCAGCTCATAAAGCCAAGGCCTAACCTGTCCAATGAATGTCGAGCAGAGGCTGCCTTTCTACCATTTAATGTCTTAGCTCTGAGGTGACTATTAAGTTCTGATCATATAGTTTGCTTCTTTAAATGATGGTAGTCACTTTCCTCAAGGGGAGACTTGAATTCATTTAAGGTGGAATCAAGAACTTAGACAAGCTATAATTGTTCCAGGTCAATTTTATTCCTGTTAAGATGCCACACAGCTCTACCTAAAGAGGCACATAATTTTTTAGGTTAAATCATTTATGAGCAGTCTTTATGCTCCTCCCAAAAGCTCATCACTCTTTCTTCAGAGGGACAGACTTGCTTTGTATGACAGACCAGTAATAGATAAATATATATTTGAAATGTGCTCCAAAATTTGTGTGTGTGTGTGTGTGTGTGTGTGTGATATAGACTGAGTAATGTGAAGGGCAAATAATCATATCTCCAAAAGATGCAAAGGTGTTCACATCAAGCCATCTTTGCCTAAATGATACCAATGTTGAGATGTGTCTTCTCACATGATCTGTTTTGTCCTGGGCAGTATACTGTTGAATGGCAATGCCAATAAGTCAAACACAAATACTGGGAAGGTCTTGCCCTTTGACAGCACTGATATGTAAAAAAATGCTTTTTAAGAAGTGATGCCACTGCTTTTCTGAAATATTGGTCTTCTATTTAGGTCGTAAATTCACAGACAAACATGAATGGGTAACAACAGAAAACGGTGTTGGAACAGTGGGAATCAGCAATTTTGCACAGGTATTGGATTGTCTTGCAATATTTCAGTCTGCTCTTGCCTAAATTGGATTGCTTTACCTTTTAAAAATTGTTTATTCTGCCCCTTAGTATTATTTTGGGCCCCTTAAAGGCCCTTAGAAGAACATCAGTCATAGATGGAAAAAGTAAAACATAGTTTAGTTAGGGCAGCGTATAATGTTTTTAGAGATATTGAAAGGTTAACACTTAAAATTAAAAATTAAATTCAAGAGAGAAATGTTTGTTTCATATTGGGGCAGTTAAGGAAAAAAGCAGAGCAAGCAAAAGGGCTGGAGTGTTGACAGTGTTTTGTGGATAGCAATGATATACACATGATCTGGGGACTTGAAGAGGGAACACCTAGATTGGCACAGATTACACAAAGATAAACCTTTTATTTAGAGTTTGTCTCTACTAATTCCCTTATTGCCACTGATCCCATATTGAGATATTGTGTAAAAGAACTTGAGAAGCCAAATAGCAGCACGTGTCACTGATCTTCCACGATCTCTGGGTGGGGTGTGGAGAAGGGGCCGGGGGTATTAACTGATGGGAGTATACAGTATTCTTCAGAAATGCTGCCATCTCAGGTACTGAGAATCCATGACAACTGTATCTTCATTGGCATATCTGTACCTACTGAGGCCCAATACAGCATGCTTTGTGAAATACTGCATAAGTATTGTCCTCCTCTCCTGGAGTTTATGAGGGGGAATCAACTACATGGAAAATGACATACAAAACATTATGTGACGGATGCCTTGAGTAGTACAAGGCATTGTCACCTGATGGAGAGATCACTACTTATTAGTCAGCAGATGCAGTAGGGGAAATGGCCTCAGTAAAGTTGCAGAGGTGGAAAAGCACAACGTGTGTTCTTAGAGGAGCCAGTAATCTTTTAGGGGGCATATGGTTTGTGACGGGGTCACTGCCACCTCTGGGAAATCCAGCTAGTGGCCTGTTTTCTTGCAGATCCTGAGGTAAGAATAATTTTGCATTTTTAAAGGGTTATAAGAAAAATCAAAGAATTTGGCCCCTCAAGTGTAAAGTATGTACTGTGTGAATTAAAGGGATTCAGTGTTTGGCTTGTTCCTATTTACTAGGTTTAATTTGATTTCTTAGAGGTTTGGTGCTTTGTTTTTGTCTTTTAAAGGAAGCTTTGGGAGATGTTGTTTACTGTAGTCTGCCTGAAGTTGGGACAAAATTGAACAAACAAGGTGAGTGTTTTTCTCATCTTGGTATGTCATGATTCATGCCATGAATTTTCTTTATCTTGCATAATAACTTGTTTGTACCCAGGATCATTTAGAATGCTTTTTCCTCAAGTAACAGAAAACTTATGTAAGAGTAGATCAGGGGTTTATTATATCTCATACAAGCAATCTTGGAAATAGGTGGATACAGGATTGACTCAGTGGCTCAGTGAAGATTATCAAGGACACAACCTCTCTGGTACTTTTTCTGCCTCAGCATGTCAGAGGTCACAGAATGGCAGCAGAACCTTCAAGCATCATGTTCTCAATGACAGTATCCAAAAGTAGGAAGAGAAGGACAGGCTCTCTTTGTCTCTTTATTGGGAACAAATATCTCAACCAGAAATCTCTCAGATCACCTTTTCTTTTATCAATTTAGCCAAGTCTGGGTCGTATTGCCATGCCTAACTGTAAGGAATGATGGTGAGGAGAATAATGAGCATTTTCAGACTTTACAATGGAAGGCAGGAAGTAGAGGGAAATGGCTCTTAGCACCCTCCTCGCCACATGTTGATATAGTATAATATAGCTGAAGTCTCTGAAGTTTAAAAAATAAAGTCTTTCTTTGGAGGCAGTAAAGAATATCAGGATAGAACATGGGCTTCTGAGTCAGAATCTGGTTTTAAATCCTGGCCTCTCAACACAGCTGTGTGATTTGGGAGAGATTACTTAATGTAGGTCTCATCTGTAAGTTGGGATAATAATACTTACCTCATAGAGTAGTTGTAAGGATTAAATGAAACTAGCATAATAACCAGCATAAGATTAGTGCTTGATAAATGTCAGCCAGTGGAACCACGTATATTATTATTCATGGGTTCCTTGACATATGTCAGGTAGCCCTACAGAATTTAAGTATCTGTTTTCTTTAATCATGTTTTATTTACTGTGTATGCACTTTGCTGTTCTCAAGCAGATCAGAAATTTCTGAACATCTCTTTATAGCAAGTGAGAAGCATGAACCTACTTTTTGTGCTTCTATTATAGAAAAAATTCTGTTAAACTAAATATGTTGAGTAATACCCTTA